TACATTCCAAATGAAACCTTTTATTGAGTTCCTACAGTGCTCCAGAAATGAACTGTTTATAAAATGAAAGAGGGTGCCTGGGTGGCTCAGTTGGTTAGGCGACTGCCTTCGGCTCAGGTCATGATCCTGGAGTCCCTGGATCGAGTCCCATGTCGGGCTCCCTGCTCAGCAGGGAGTCTGCTTCTCCCTCTGACCCTCCCCCCTCTCATGCTCTCTCTCTCTCTAGCTCATTCTCTGTCTCAAATAAATAAATAAAAAATCTTTAAAAAAAAATAAAATAAAATAAAATGAAAGAGCTGTTCAGTCACTAAAAAGATGCCACTCTATAGATTGTGACCTGAAAAATAAACAAATTGGTACTAAGTCAATGAAGAAACTCCCTTGAAATTCCAGGGACAGAATGGAATATACCAGAACGAACACGGAGCTGGCTACCAGAATGCTTCCATCCGAGGGCCAACCCTGACACTAGCTGTGCTCATTCAACTTCCCCTTCATGCATTCAACCGTCTTGCTGTGTGCCCACCAGGCTCGATGCTGAGCTCGCTTGCGGCCTGTGCAGAAAACATACCAAACAAAGTCAGTTATCGTTCGAAAAGTGTTTGGAAAGCAGAGCAGAAATGCAGTGTGAGTCTATGACCGGGGGGCCTAGCCTGGAGAGCCGCCTGGAGGAGGTGAGCTTAGAGCCAGGACCTGACGGAAAAGCGGGATGAGTGTAAGCCCAGGACATCCATGAGGCCTTCAGCACACAGAACGCTGAGCTTCGGTTTCCCAGGCACAGAATGAATGAGGTGGGCTCAGAACTAACGAGAGCAAACACGCACTCAGTACTTACTGTCTCAGTTTTGACACTTTACACAAATTGACTCATTCAATCTTCACAACAACCGCGTGAAGTGGATTATCCATTATTCCTATTGTGTAGGGAGGCACGAAAGCCTGAGTGATTTGCCTGATGCAGCTTTTAAGTGGCAGAACCAGCATGTGGGTGCGGGCGGTCTAACTTCAGAATCAACACCGCTGACTGCCGGATACCCACTCCACAAAGCTGCTACGTTAGAGCTTTGTGAAATCTCTTATTTCCAATCGTATTTTCTAAATCCAGCTGAAACACAAAACCTTTGATGTATATCACCGGCGCCTCCAGATAGGTGCTCTCTCTCAGCAGAAGGCCCTGGGATCCCAAACAGTTCCTGGATGTGAGCAGAAGTTACCCCCTTCTCATGCACCTTCTCCTCCCTCCCCTCTCCAAGAAAACCTAAGAGTTAAAAGAACTTAAGACCCTACCAGTGCTTCTTGTCAGGCCCAAGAGAACAAAGAAGAGCCCCCTTCTCGTCCACTGCATTCCTCTTGAGCACAGAAGGCCCTTTCCCAATATTGATAAATGAGTAAGGTCATGGCCTTGGGAGCGGTGGCGTGGACGTCTGTCCAAATACAGGCTCGCGCTCCCTTTGATCATGTGTCTCTCCATCCTGGTCCCGCAGGGCCCCAAGGCTTGTCTCTTCCTGCTTAGGGAGGGCGGTATTGTATTACCCTGTGATGTTTTGTCTGTACAGTTTGACTGGCCTTTGTTACTTTGAATGAACAGATGAATCTCAAATTAGCCTCTCGGTATAATCACACTTTTCACTGATCGATGTTAAGAGTCAATGCTCCATTGACAACAGGCAAATCATCAGGTTTTGGCATCGTGCTGGATGAGCACGTTTGAGAGAAAGAAGAAAGAAAGAAAAAAAACTCGTATCTTAAACGTGGAGTATCTCAGGCAATCCTAACACGGGGTAATGAAGAAACGAGACCATACTCTACTTTCGTAAAAGCTAGCCACAGCCCTGTTAGAGCAAAAGACACAAAGGTCCTGGCAGGTCCTGTTTAAGATGAATTTCTCTGCCAGCTCAGGGAATCTGCTAGGTAGAGCTTTGGTTTCCTTTTTTCTCTTTCCACTTACAATATTTACATGATTTTTTGAGATTTGCTTCCTTTAAATGATATTTCAGTAGTTCTAAGTAGATAATTAAATACTTAGATTTCGTGTCACAGGAAATGAAGGCTTTGCCAAGAATTAAGCCGATGAGAACACAAGGATATAGTATCAGCCTAATCAGGAACTTCGCATTTAGAGCATCCTCTGACACACATAACCAAAAGCCCTTTAAATCATCGTATATACACAGCCACCAAAACTCACCCTAAATCCTTTTGGATGATCCAATCTATTTGCTCAGAAATCTTCCCAACGAGTGACTCCGGGCCACCTCTGAAATACTATACTCTCTTATTCATTTGCAAAATCTAACTTCAAAATAATTATGAAAGTCCATTCCATCTCTGCAGCATATAAGAGAAACGTTTCCACCACGGAGAGGGGCTACAGTGAAGAGTATTCCAGCGGTAAGCTGGGTCAAGTATGCTATAAATTGGCAGGATAGAATCTGGGAAAAAGACAAGTCATTCAGCTAAAGTCACCCATGAGTCTCTTCCTAACAAACATCCTCATGTGACATTCTCCCCCACCTAACCCCCGACGTCCCGCGCACTGGCATTCATTAACGTGATTGCTAGACAGAAACATGAAGAACTCCTCCAGGTTTCCCATCTTCCCTAACTTTAAAAGATCTGAGCCTCTGCCATTTCGGGCTGACGAATCTCTTTCCAAGGAGAGAGGAAGAAGTAGAATGCCAGAGATCAGAGGAAGAGCGCACCGTCTTTGCTATCAAAACATTATTAAATTCATTCCTTTGACATTCTGACAGTAATTGCGCTGAGAGCGATTGGAATTTGTTAAAATTACTTTAAAAGCGTTGTTGAGAGTTTCCTGTGGGAGAGGCCAGGGAACCACGCACAGCCCTCGCTGGTTTTCCCTTGCTCGTCCAGGGTCCGCTGGGACCAGCAGACTCCGTTATCCTGGCTGATTCATTCCTGAGGTTTCTGCCTTTGTCATGGCCATAAACAAAGATAGAACCAGGCACACTCACCACCGTTGTTCTCCTAATCGTGGCAGAGCCGTGACACAACAGGCTTCACAAGGGTATTGTGGGAAAGAGCCAAAAATAGTGCTATTCACCTCAAATTTCTGAATGTTCCCTTCCTTGCTGATATAAACTCAAAGAGTTCTAATGAACCGAGATTTCATGACGACACGGAGAGATTCTCTCACCTCAGTGAGGAAACGATCCACCTGCAGGGACTGAGCCAGGGAACCACCCCGACGGTGGCCCTAGGCTTATGCACAAGGGGGCAGAGCATCCAATCCCATGAGTACAAGTTCTGTTAATGAAAGGCCTAGAGCTGCTTTCTTCACTGATCACAATCTGAGTGGCTTTCAAACACGTAACACACACCGTGAGAAGCTGAATTTTTAAAAATATGTGTCTGGTCCAAAGGTCAAACACAGAGTTGCCATGTGACCTAGCAGTTCCACTCCTAAAGGTAGAATTCTACAAAAGTGAAAACACATGTTCATGCTATAACCTCTATACGAAGGTTCAGAGCAGCATTGTTCACAGTAGCCAAAAGGTTGTAAACAGCCCAAATGTCCATAAACTGATGAATGGGTAAACAAAATGTGGTCTCTCCCTGCAACGGACTAGTACTCAGCCATAAAAAGGAGTGACGTACTGATGGATGGCACACTGGGGATGAATCTTGAAAACATGATGCTACATAAAAAGAAGTCAATCCTAAAAGACCGCATACTGTTTGTTTCCTTTTATATGAAATGTCTAGAACAGGCAAATCCACAGACAGAAAGCAGATTAGCAGTTGCCAGGCACTGGGAGGAGGTGGGGGGGGATGGAGAATGACTGTTGATGGGTACAGGGCTTCTTTTTTGGAGTGATGAAAATATTCCAAAATTAGATAGTGGTAAGAGTTGCACAACTCTGTCAATATGTTAAAACAGCTGAATCGTACACTTTAAAATGAATTTCATGGTATGTGAATTGTACCTCAATACAAAAAAATGTCAAACATATGCATGCATGTGTGTGTATGTACACATATATATACCCCCACACATGCACATAACGCATTTCATGACTTGATCTTTCTTTTTAAAATGATAATCAATGAAACATGACCCCTAATTTTTCTCAACAACCTAGAGTGATTATTAATCGTAATTTCAAGAAGGAAGAACTATGCATTTATTGGTGAAGTTCACATTTCCTTAGGAGGAAAAGAGGACCATTTTTATATATTTTTCTCTTTTTTTTCCATTTTCTTTTAATACAGAACTAAAAATGACAACATTGCTAAAAATGCTATTCCCATTCCCTTCTCCTCGTGGAGCTCCTCCTCAGGAGGGAACAGACTGGTCAATCAAACTTTTGTTTGATTTTCATAAGCATTCGCAAGGTGGGTCTGGCTTATGGGAACCACCCCTCCCTTGCAAGAGCAAGTTCACAATTTAAATGGTGATTCAATTCAGATGAATAAAACAGCTATTGAACAACCACCACATATAAGGCAAATACAGTGAAAACACCATCCCTAGCACTAGCTGAAAAACAATCTCATGCCATCTTAACATTGATTCTTCTTTCAGGCTCCTGAGCAACTGGTCTCATTATACTTTGCAAATAAAGACGAGCAGCCAGCACTTAACATGGCCCATATTATGTACCAAGCCCGGTTCCAAGCACTTTTCATATATTCACTCATAGCATTCTATCTATTAACCCTTACACCAACTACAAGACAAGTATCGTTATTATTCTCATTTTACAGAAGAGATTGAGGTTCAGAGTGGCTAAGTAATTTGCCCAGGGTCACACAACAATGAAAGGGTAGAGCCAGGATGCAAACCCAGGCAATCTGGCTTCTGATGTCACTCTCTTAACCCCACGATGGCATTAACCCAGCTCACAAAATAATTCCATGACACATGCAGAAGAACTGTAAAGCACGCTGCAACCATTCAGCCTTACGTAGAGCACACGGAAGCACTGTCGGGCCATTCAGCACAGAGTCGGTCATCAGCAGCAGGGCAGGGTCCTTACCTGTGGACCACCCCAGCCCGGTGCAGGTGCTCCACGGCAGAGATGAGCTGCCTGATGTATCTGCGGGCTTCAGACTCCTCCAGCCGCTTCTTCTCATAGATCTTGTGCATCAGGTTGCCCCCAGGACATAGCTCCATGACCAGGTAATAGCTATTCTCCGTCTCTAAGATATCAAGGAGCTGGGTGATGTTGGGGTGGCGGATCATCTGCTGAATCTGCCCCTCTCGCCGAAGGTTCTTGGTGACATAAGTGTCCTTTTTGGCTCTCTTCTTGTCAATGACTTTTATGGCCACCTGAGGAAACACCGAGAACGTGGCTGTTGTCAGACATCGCAAGCAAAGGTTATTCCCTCATCATTCACAAAAACCCTAGGAAAGTACATAGCTACTTCTCTGTACCAGGAGAAAACGCTTATAAAATAAGCATCAGGGGGAAAAAGGAAAAGTGTAACATCAGGAACCAGATCCAATTATTAAGAAAGAGAGTAAAAAGGCAAACTTGAATGGTCATCTGGAAGGCGCGGTGAAGAGTCAGTGTTGAACTTGGTTTTCCACAGCCTGAAACGCCAACTTCTACTCCAGCCAAGGGCCTCTCCTGGCTCCCTCTCAGGCTGAGCCATCATCCATCCAGGGGCTGGGATCCCCAGGGCCTCCATTTCTGAAAGAGCTAAATCTGTCCCCATCTTCAGTTCTAGGGTGTGGCTGGGGACCTGGGGGATGCCATGCCCTCTCCTTTCTCCCCCCCTTTCCCTGCCCTGCACCAGGCCCTCTGGCCTCCAGCATTCTCCTCTTCCCCTTGGTGAGTTATAGTGCAAGTTAGCTCTTGGCCCTACATCAGGATCCTGGTGGTTGCTGCTCCAGGGCTGTATCCCAGCTACCCACAGAACACCCCTCCTGGGTCACTGCCCTCACAATCAACATGTCACATGCACAGACCCTCCAGCTTTGTACAAAGGCAGGGAAAGAGGGAGGAGGGGGATTTTGTCTTTTCCGGCCAGGTCTGCACCCCTTCCCTTTGGTGGCATTCACCTCCCTGCTCACCAGGCCCTAAAACACACCACTGTTTTTGCCCTTTACGATTTCGCTCCTCTTGCTATGGGACCAGCCGCTGACATCATGTCGACTCCTTCTACTGATGCCTCCTCACCTTTCCTTCCTCTCTGTTCCCATGCCGCCGATCCGGCTTATTTAGGACTATGCCTCCAGCACCCAGACGCACCATCCCTGGGACTCGAACAACCCAAGAGCCATATGCATGGAAGGCTCCTGAGCCACAGGGTGTGGAACCCAAAGAGTGGTTCTTCCACCTCTATGTATTTCCTTTTTGTGTGATTATATTTTATAACTTTCATAATATACTCAACATATTAGTACAGAGTTATGATACAGATCAAAAAATAAATGATTGGTAGATGACTGATAGACAATATTTGCAGTGAGGAGTTCACACATTATTTTCCTGACATAGGTTTGTGATTAAAAAATGAATTCAGTCTTGGGGGCGCCTGGGTGGCTCAGTCAGTTAAGCGTCTGCCTCTGGCTCAGGTCATGATCTCAGGGTCCTGGGATCGAGCCCTGTGTCAGGCTCCCTGCTTAGGGAGGAGTCTCCTTCTCCCTCTGCCCCCACCCCTGCTCATGCTCACTCGCTCTCTCTCACTCTCGCTCTTTCAAATAAATAAATAAAATCCTTAATAATAATAATAATAATTAAGTCTGGCCACCACTAGCCTGGACTACGACATCAATGCCCTACCCCTTCTCCCTAGTGCTCGTCTTGGCTGCCCTTGAAGTCACTTTATACTCTGCCTCGAAATCACTGGGTCTGGAACTCTGATTTCTCGCTTAAAGCTCTTTGGGACTCACCGCTGTCTACAAGGCAAGGTCCACACTCCCTGGCCCAGCACTCAGGCTCCTCCAACCAGGCCAACCCCAGCTGCCCTGGGAGCTGGTCTCCTCTCCCTCCTGAATACACACTGGGTTACCCTCCAAGCTTGGGCTCGTGCCCCCACCCCCAACCCATCCGCACACCCCAGTCCTGAAGCTGCTAACTCAAGTCCCACCTCCCTCCCAGAGGGTGCTTTCTCTCCTTTTCCCTAGGGCCCACCACAGCCACCAGCTGCGGTCCCCCTGAGCACTCAGCCCTTGAAGCAGGGACCACTCTCCTCTTCATCACGCGCAGCTCTGCATAAACAGTAAGGGACCAACAGGTTACCACCCGAGCGAATCACTGAACCTTTTTATTTTTAACCATTGATGCAAAAATAGCTGTGAATAGCTTAATTTATTATCTCTTCTGGAGAGCAGAGTCTCACTTACTTTTTTTTTAATTTTTAAATTGACATATAACAGTACAGTAGTTTTAGGTAGACAACATACTGATTTGAAATGGTGTAGATCCTCCAAATGGATTACCACAATACATTGAGTTAACATCCATCACTACACATAGTTATAACTTGCGCGCGCGTGTGTGTGTGTGTGTGTGTGTGTGTGTGTGACAGGAACTTTTAAGATGTTCTGCCTCAGCAACTTTCAAATATACAAGACAGTATTGTTAACTATAGTCATCACGCTGTGTGTTACTAGCACTTACTTATCTTATAACTGGAAGTTTGTGCCTTTTGAACCCCTTCACCCATTTTAATGGGGGATTTTCAGGTCCTCAATCCAAAGATATGACTAAGAGGGGACCATCAGCCAACGGACCAGACAAGCTGGGGGTCTGCTGTAGCCCAAGTCAGGCTGAGGCTGAGGTTGTCCCCCCACAGAAGTTAAAGTTAGGCTCTGGCTATAGTTTGGCCCTGACAAGGTCAGGAAATGCTAGACTAAAAGCTTTAAAAACTGTACTCATTTGTGACCCTCCGCCCCCAAAAAATATATATACACACATATATACACACACATGCACATGCCCATAGACATACACAGACCTCTACAGCCACATATACACACACATGGGTGTGCACGTGCATAAACACGCGTGCACATACCCGTACGTATATATCCACTGTCTCGTGAGGGTGGAGAGAAAGAGGGATGCTGAAAAGTACAATTAGATTCTGTCTCTGCTTGAGTCTGTGTTACAATGTTTTAAAAATACACCCTCCGGCTACGAAATTCTTAAAAGTCCTATGAACAAACAATAGTCTGAAAGCCTGGCAGTAATACGATCTGCCTTTTTCGACAGAGCACACAATAATTATTAGGATAATTTATTTAGCTCTTCAATTGTCTGTCGTAAGTTCTATAAGGGCCACCCAAGGACTCTCAGTCCTATTTCCTGGACCGTGTGAATGGGGCCTAGCGAAGGATTTTGAGATGAGATTAACCGGGACCCTCCACGTGGGCCCTGAATGTCAGCTCAAGTGTCTTTATGAAATAGAGGCCAGGGGAGATTTCGCACAAATACCCAGAGGAGCAGGCTGTGGGAAGGAGGAGAGAGACGGCGGCCCACAAGCCAGGTCCCGCAGCTACCAGAACCATCGGAGGGAGCACGTCCCTGGCAACACCTTGAGTTTGGGCCAGTGACATCGACTTTGGACTTCTGGCCTCCAGAACTGCGAGAGAATACATTCCTGTTGCTTTAAGCCACCAAGTGTGCAGGGCTCTGTCATGTAGCCCCAGGAAACTAGCACACCAGATGTGCTCCCCTGTCATTGGGTACCTGGGTTCCCACCTTCTGCTGGTTCTGAGAAACCCCCCAGGTGAAGAGCCTGAGCCCCCCAAGTCACCCCATTAACCACCCCCTCCATTTCCACGCACCATCCCGGCCCCAGGCTTTTTACTTCACCCCCGACACTTATCACCTCTGCCTTAGTAATACTGAAAAACGGAATGCCGTTCTTGATTACATCAGCGTCATCTCTAACAACTGAAATGGGAAACACTGAGCGGGAAATTAAGGGAAAGGCAGTCAATGATCAGCAAAGGGAGGCATCTAATTTAATTTGACAGTAATCAGAGATTTGCAGGCAGAGTAGATCCAACACTGATTCTACAAGGTGGAATCTCAGCATGCTGATGGGTCTCTCGCCGGAAAGAGAAACTGCTTGAGTCAGGGGAGTTGTACAAAGTAAAAATTAAATGGGTGCAGACTCAAGCTGAGGACCAAGGCCGAGGACCCAACTGAAAGCGTGTGTTTAGGGAGGGGCGGGTGGTGGGGGGTGTCAAGGGAGTAGGGAAGCCTGGATGCCATCCTCGGCACATCAGGAGAAACAATCTTGCTGTAGAAGGCGAATCCAACGACTCCAGCTCGTCAACAGACTCAAGTTGCAAAGTCTCCCAAAATCTTACAAAGGGATCCGTTTCCAAAGACTGCCCCCATGTTCCTAAGAGGAGTTGCCAAGTCTTTCGGGAGTGGTGGAAAATGAACAGAGAGAGAATAACACGGCTCCAGTGGACCACAGTGAAACGGATTATTCACCAACTTCTCTCATTAAGTAAGAAACTGCATTTCTCACAACCTGGCAACTCCTACCGTCCTCCACCATCCCCCCTGCTCCCACCAAAAAAAAAAAGCCTGCCAATGATGGATAAGATCAGCAAATTTAAATAGCTAAGCTCCTAAGAAAGGAAAGGAAATCCCCCCAAGACCAAAATAATGAGTGTATCTAAGATAACTGGATGGCAGCTATGTAAAGATACAGGAGATGGGCACCTGGGTGGCATGGTGGGTTAAATGTCCCACTCTTGGCTTTGGCTCAGGTCCTGATCTCAGGGTTGTGAGATCGACCCTGACTCAGGCTCTAATCACTGTGGTGTCTGCTTGAGATTCTCTCTCCCTCTCCCTCTACCCCTCCCGCTTGTGCACGCTCTCTCTCTCTCTCTCTCTCTCTCTCTCTAAAATAAATAAATAAATATTTGGGGGGGGGAGATGTAGGAGAGAAGGTGTATCTGCAGGTAAGAAGATCCTAAGGATGAAAAGGAAAAGGTGGAGGAGTCGGCTCCGCATGGAAGGGGAGGAGCAACACAGGGAAGGGGGAGGAGCTCAAGTGCTTGGATCCCAATTTGACAGGAGAAAGATGAGTTGCAGAAAAGAAATCGTGCTTAATGGCCTGTATTAGGAGGAAAAATTCCAACACTGAATTGTATTTCAGAAGGAGGGATGCACAAAATCATCTGACCCCATCATGGCACACACTCGTACCTAAGATAATGTGCATAAAGCACTTAGTACGATGTCGGGCCCATAGTAAGTGCTCCTTAAATTGATGCTCTTACTATCATTACCATGTTACTTTACTGAAGCAACCTATAGAGAGGGTGAAAAAGCACTCCAGCTTAGTTCAGCTAAG